GTAGAATGATTTTGAGGAAAGAGACAGGAGGCTCTGAAAATGGATGAGTGCGGATTTTCCAGTTTGCTACCCTTTCACTCTTCTGGGATTCAAAGCCACAGCTCTTCTGACTAATATTAATGTGTCATTTTCAAGTTTCAGTATGACCCACTACCTCTGATATCTTTCCAGGTAATGGAATTCTGGAGACCTAATTCAATGAGCACTAGAAAGACACAGAATTAAAATAAAACACTGACTGCCTCAGGGACACACACTTGGCAGGAAGCTCAAAATCCAGGAGCTTTAAAGAAAGACTATTCTGGAGTATTACACAGGTGCAAAGGTTTTCAAAGCTCCTGACAGGAAGATCTGGTCAAATTACATGAAGTTACACACTGTCAAGATGACAGTATGATCATTTAAATGTCTGCAATTATTAATAGGATGATAATCAAATAAATGTTTCCAGTATTTTGTATAAATAAACCATCACCAAATGAAGAAATATATTCATATAGTGCCAAATGACCAATAATAACGATGCAGTAGTTTCTCTTCATTTGCCTCAGTTCAGTTCAATTCAGTCATTCAGTCGTGTCTGACTCTTTGTGACCCCATGGACTGCAGCACGCCAGGCTTCCCTGTCCATCATCAACTCCCAGAGTTTGCTCAAACTCGTGTCCATTGAGTCAGTGATACCATTCAACCATCTCATCCTCTGTTTTCCACTTCTCCTCTTGCCCTCAATCTTTCCCAGCATCGGGGTCTTTTCTAATGAGTCGACTCTTCGCATCAGGTAGCCAAAGTATTGGAGCTTCAGCTTCAGCATCAGTCTTTCCAATGAATAGTCAGTCTTGACTTCCTTTAGGATGGACTGGTTGGATCTCCTTGCAGTCCAAGAGGTTCTCAAGACACTTCTCCAGTTCAAAATTATCAATTCTTCGGTGCTCAGCTTTCTTTATAGTCCAACTCACACATCCAAACATGACTAAGGGAAAAACCATAGCTTTGACTAAACGGAACTTTGTTAGCAGAATATGTCTCTACTTTTTAATATGCCGTCTAGATTGGTCATAGCTTTTCTTCCACGGATTAACCATCTCAATTTCATTGCTGCAGTCACCAGCTGCAGTGATTTTGGAGCCCAAGAAAATAAAATCTGTCACTGTTTCCATTATTTCCCAATCTATTTGCCATGAAGTAAGTGGTGGGACCAGATGCCATGATCTTAGTTTATTGAATGTTGAGTTTTAAGCCATCTTCATTCTCCTCTTTCACCTGTATCAAGAGTCTTTAGTTCCTCTTTGTTTTTCTCATAATGGTGTCATCTGCATATCTGAGATTATTGATATTTCTCCCAGTAATCTTGATTCCAGCTTGTGCTTCATCCAGCCCAGCATTTCATGTGTTGTATTCTGCATATAAGTTAAAAAAGCAGGGTGACAATCTACAGCCTTGACGTACTCCTTTCCCAATTTGGAACCAGTCTGTTGTTTCATATCTGGTTCTAACTGTTGATTTCAAGAGGCAGTTAAGGTGGTCTGGTATTTCCATCACTTGAAGAATTTTCCATAGTTTGCTGTGATCCACACAGTCAAAGGCTTTGGCATAGTCAATAAAGCAGAAGTAGATTTTTTTCTGGAAGGCTCTTGCTTTTTTGATGATCCAACAGATGTTGACAATTTGATCTCTGCTACCTCTGCCTTTTCTAAATCCAGCTTGAACATCTGGAAGTTCTCTGTTCATGTACTGTTGAAACCTGGCTTGGAGAATTTTGAGCATTACTTTGCTAGCATGTGAGATGTGTGAATTGTGCTGTAGTGAACATTCTTTGGCATTTCCTTTCTTTGGGATTGGAATAAAAACTGACCTTTTCCAGTCCTGTGGCCACTGCTGAGTTTTCCAGATTTCTTGGCATATTGAGTGCAGCATTTTAACACCATCATCTTTTGGGATTTTTAATAGCTCAGCTGGAATTTCATCACCTCCACTAGCTTTGTAGTGATGCTTTCTAAGGCCCACTTGACTTCGCATTCCAAGATGTCTGGCTCTAGGTGAGTGATCACACCATCTTGATTATCTGGGTCATTAATATCTTTTCTGTATAGTTCTTCTGTGTTTTCTTGCCACCTCTTCTTAATATCTTTTGCTTCTGTTAGGTCTATAACATTTCTGTCCTTTGTTGTGCACATCTTTGCATGAAATATTCCATTGGTATCTCTAATTTTCTTGAAAAAATCTCTAGTCTTCCCCATTCTACTGTTTTCCTCTATTTCTTTGCATTGTTCACTGAAGAAGTCTTTCTTATCTCTCATTTCTGTTCTTTGGAACTCCACATTCAGATAGGTATATCTTTCTTTTTCTCCTTTGCCTTTCACTTCTCTTCTTTTCTCGGCTATTTGTAAGGCCTCCTCAGACAGCCATTTTGCCTTCTTGCATTTCTTTTTCTTGGGGATGATTTTGATCATCATCTCCTATACAATGTCACAAACCTCCATCCATAGTTCTTCTGACATTCTATCAGATCTAATCCCTTGAATCTATTTGTAACTTCCACTGTATAATCATAAGGGATTTGATTTAGGTCATACCTGAGTGGCCTGGTGATTTTCCCTACTTTCTTCAATTTAAGTCTGAATTTGGCAATAAGGAGCTCATGATGTGAGCCACAGCCAGCTGCCAGTCTTGTATTTTTGCTGACTGTATAGAGTTTCTCCATCTTCAACTGCAAAGAATAAAATCAATCTGATTTCCATATTGACCATCTGGTTGTGTCCATGTATAGAGTTGTCCCTTGTGTCATTGGAAGAGGGTGTTTGCTATGATCAGTGCATTCTCTTGGCAAAACTCTGTTAGCTTTTTGCCTGCTTCATTTTGTACTCCAAAGCCAAACTTGCCTGCTACTTGAATTCCTACTTTTGCATTCCAGTACCCTATGATGAAAAGGACATCTTTTTTTGGTGTTGGTTTTGGAAGGTTATAGGTCTTCATAGGACTGTTCAACTGCAGCTTCTGCATTAGTGGTTGGTGCATAGACTTGCATTACTGTGGTTCTGAATGGTTTGTCTAGGAAATGAACAGAGATCCTTCTGTCGTTTTTGAGATTGCACTCAAGTACTGCATTTCAGACTCTTTTGTTGCCTATGAGGGCTACTCCATTTCTTCTAAGGCATTCTTGCCCACAGTAGTGGGTATAATGGTCATCTGAATTAAATTCACCCATTCCAGCCCATTTTAGTTCACTGATTCCTAAAATGTTGATGTTCACTGTTGCCATCTTCTGTTTGACCACTTCCAATTTACCTTGATTCATGGACCTAACATTCCAGGTTCCTATGCAATATTATTCTCTATATCACTGGACTTTACTTTCACACCAGACACATCCACAACTTTTTATTTTTCCCCACTTGGGCTCATCCTCTTCATTCCTTCTGGAGCTATTTCTCCACTCTTCTCCAGTACCATATTGGGCACCAACCAACCTGGGGAGTTCATCTTTCAATGTCATATCGTTTTGCTTTTTCATACCATTTATGGGATTCTCAAGACAAGAATGCTGAAGTGGTTTGCCATTCCCTTCTCCAGTGGACCATGTTTTGTTAGACCTCTCCACTATGACCCATCCACCTTGGGTGGCCCTACACAGTGGGCCATAGTTTCATTGAGCTAGACAGGGTTGTGATCCATGTGATCAGTTTTGTTAGTTTTCTGTGATTGTGGTTTTCATTCTGTCTGCCTCTGATGGATAAGGATAAGAGGCTTGTGAAGCTTCCTGGTGGGAGAGATTGGCTGTGGGTAAAACTGGGTCTTGCTGTGCCCTGGTGGGCAGGGTCCTGCTCAGGAAATCTCTAATCCAATTTTCTGCTGATAGGTTGAGCTGTGTTCCCTCCCTGTAGTTTGGCACGAGGCCAAACTATAGTAGGGGTAATGATGGTAATGGTGTCCTTCTTCAAAAAAGACTTATGCCAAAAAAAAAAAAAAAGGCTTATGCCAGCATGCTGCATCTCCCAGGACTGTTGTTTTCAGTGCCCCTGATCTCTCAGCAGGCCACTGTCAGCCCACCAGCCTTCACCAGAGACTCCTGGACACTCACAGGCAAGTCTGGCTCAGTCTCTTGTGGGGTCACTGCTCTTTCTCCTGGGTCCTGGTGCACACAAGGTTTCGTTGTGCCCTCTGAGAGTCTGTTTCCCTGGACGTTCTCAGTCCTTTTGCAGATCCCCAGGTTGGGAAATCTGTTATGAGCTCCAGAACTTTTGTAACAGTGCAAGAACTTCTTTTGTATAATTGTTCTTTAGTTTGTGGATTGTCTGCTCGGCGGCTGTATAGTGTGGCTAATGGTGTCCTCCTCCAAGAGAACCTATGCCACACGCCGCACCTCTCAGGTCTGCTGCAGCCAGGGCCCCTGTCCCCACTGCAGGTTCCTGCTGACCTGTGCCTCCACAGGAGACACTCAAACACTCAAAAGCAGGTCTGGCTCAATCTCTTGTAGGGTCACTTTTCCTTTCCCTGGGTCCTGGTGCACACAAGGTTTTGTTTGCACCCTCTGAGCATTTATGGTGGTCTTTACCATAATCAGATAAATTAAAGATTCTCATTGTCAGCATTACAGGGAAAATATCTATTATAAATGAGGGCATGATTTGTAGATTTAGTCTACATATCAGGATCAAATTTTGGAGGTCACTTGAAAGCATTCAATTGCAGGAAAAGTATTGGCCATTTGGGGTTTTGTGATTATTCTTTTGTGGCTCCCCTTGTGGCTCAGACAGTAAAGAATATGCCTGCCACGTGGGAGACTCCGGTTCAATCCTTGGGTTGGGCAGATCCCTTGGAGAAAGAAATGGCAACTCCCTCCAGCATTCTTGGCCCATAGAATTCTATGGACAGAGGAGTCTGGCAGGCTACAGTCCTTGGGATCACAAACATTATTCTTTTATACACTTACTAGAAATTTTTCTACAAATATATGATATGTTTATATGTTTAATTATTATTACTTTTTCTTTCACTCACAGAACTTTGATTTTAAGTGAAGAAATTCCATACGCAACATGGTATCTCAACATAACTTCGTGTAAGTAACAACAGGATATTAACCCTTAGAAGTAGAGATTTGTTTTCATTTAGGAAAGCAATTTTCCTTTTAAGAAAAAGCCAAAAAAATGATCCTTAAACACAAAGAATTTCTTTTAAAAATTATTATGTATCAGCAGAATTATTTCTGCTACACATCTATCATTTGATGGCAGCATACTTTTTCAGCAGTTACCACCCCTTTCTGTTAGAACTCTTATTTTTGGATGAGTGATCAATTGCTTCATGTTGATTTTCCCCAGCAAGCTATAGGTTCACCCCAGCTGCAAAAATTTTCTAAACTCTGAGCAAAGTCTTCATAAGAGAAGTCAGGATATGATCTTTCAAACACAAACAGAATAACTCTGTAGGAGTCTGTGCAGGAATTTGAGAAAGAAGCTCTGTGAGAGAGTAAGTTTGTAGCATTTATGCTCTTTGCAAACCTGACCTTAAAAGGTGATTAAAATTCACATATAAAAGATTCTACTTAACTCTTGAATAGCACTTCTAATACACAAAGTTTGTTTAATTTACCAAAGTTTATCCTATACTAAATATACAGTACAAGGTATACTATAAAAGAAATTGTCAGAAGCCTGGAACAAATTGTTCAAGGGGCACCCTCTCTGAGTGCCAACCCTATATACCGTTTTTAGTCTGCTAACCCTAAGTCAATAATACTGAGGGTATCCCTGTAGTCAAATATTGATAACATACAGATTTCCCCCAATGGATTGGATTTATTCTGTGTCTTCTTTCCAAAAGGAATTGAAGTTGAATACTTAAGAATTTGAATAGTCAATTTAACATGTTTGCGTAATTATCATTCCCTCAGAGAAATCTGATGAAGATAAAACCAAATTTATTTCCTTTTGGCCTTGTCAGATTCTGCAAGTACTTAACCAGTTGCACCCTAAACTACCAGAAAATACAAACTGAAGTGGATCTTGAGTCCCACACATGACTCAAAGGGACTCTACACCAAGATGATATAAACATCAGAACTCCACTGCTCTCCATTTGTAACAATCATGCTACAAAGTAAGTAAAAAGTCCTCTCTCTTACAAATGTCTTTCATTTTCCTTCAGCCAAAGGGCCTCATTTATTCCATTAATCTATCACAGAAGCATTTCCTCTATTACAAAATGAAACTTCATTACACACTGGGTTTACATTCAGTGGCAGAGACTATCCTCTAATTTCCTTTCTCTTATCCTTCCTTTTAGGAACACTCTTTTCCTCAAGATATGATCACCCGACTTGTTTTCCAGCATCCCTTGCAGCTACATGTGACCATGTGATTTGTCTCTTGCAATTAAGGACTTCCTTCGTAGTCGGTAAAGAATTTGCTTGCAATGCAGGAGACCTGGGTTCAATTCCTGGGTCGGAAAGTTCCCCTGGAGAAGGAAATGGCAACCCACTCCAATATTCTAGCCTGAAGAATCCCATGGACAGAGGAGCCTGGCAAACTACAGTCCATGGGGTCGCAAGAGTCAGACATAACTTAGTGACTTAACCATCACAATAGTAATTAAGCAAGAGTAATGTGAGCCATTTTGGTCCTCTGTCTTTAAAAGAGAAAATCACTTGCTTTCTCATTCTCTTTCCACATCTCATAGTCTATAAAGCAAACAGTGTCCAGTTCCACCAAGCAGCTGAGGACAACTTTAGGGAATAGCAGAACAACAATATAAATGGAACCTGGATTCCTAAATGACAGCCTCCCTGGTTAGTTACATTAAACATCTACTTTGAGTCACTGTGTTTTAGGATTTCCTTGTCACAGCCTTTTGTTTGTATCTCCAAATACAGTTATTCAAATTAGAACTTCTTTCATCTCATCTCTACTACTTTCATCTGTGTTAAAACATTGTTGTTGGTGACAGTTTTGCCCAAGTATGTAGCAAAAGACTATTATGGGGTCAGTGTTGTTTCTCTGGACAAACAAGCTAATTTTATGGTATGTATCTGAGCTACTGGGTTTATACAATCTTGGGGCATCTAGGCTGTTACCCTTTAGTTCCATGATATTTTTTTAATCATTTTATCACACCATCAACTTATTTGAAATTTTTCTTCACTGTGTTCTTGTACTGAATCTCACTTCTAACTTTTGATTATCATCATAGAACATTTATTTGTGTGTCTGTTTATTACCCATTATCAACATGTGTCTGACCAAGGGCAATCAGGCAAAAGTATTGATTTCACTGATATTCAGCAAATTTCCTGATAGATCCTCCCAAGCTTTCTTATTGGACTAATGCTGGATATACAAGACCGATAGCAGCAGGTGTTAGCGCAAGTTACTGTGGCCCCAGTATATACATATTCCTGATGCAAGCTTTGTTGATAACATTCTACAACCCAAATATACTACAGACAAAAAAGATAGTTATTCTTTTGTTCTTCTATCCTTTTTTTAAGTCAAAGGTTAAAATCTCAATGAAACAATCCACAACTGCATTGAAAAAGTCTTGCATAATATCTGTGATTTCTCATCTTTCTTAAAGCTAGGGGGGAAAATGCCATATTCTTTTCCTTTCATTTCTCGGTCTCACAAATTAGAGTATTTTAAAAGAGAAAAGAACCGTGAGGACTTCTTCTGTAGGAGTTTTAGAACTGTGTTCCTGGCACCCTAGGACAACAGAAAGATATCTCAAAGTAGCCTGAAGAGGGGTTGGTGGAGGAGGCTAAATGGTAGGGACCAGAGACTCCTCACTGTGCTTCAGATTAAGCAGTTTTCTTTTCTTTAATCATTAAGATGTTAGGGTTATGATTGAGATTTCACTTTTAAAATGTTTCCTAATATTTGGAAAGTGCTGATCTAGTCCAAACCAAATGAGGGAACTAGGAGCTCAAGAGAGTAAGATTTACTCATGAAATGAGAGCTGACTAGTGATGAAGCTAAGATGGGATCCTAGTCTTTTGACATCTTGTCCAGAATTTTTATACCAAAGCTAGAGAGATGATTTAATAGAGTGTGGGCACTCAGTCACACACAGTTAAAGTGGCATAGCTACTGTGGTATTCATGTGACTTATAAGAGTTTCAATACCAACTTCAAATTTCCCTATATTTTTCATCTGGCTTGTAGTTAGGAATAGCGATAGATGTTTCAATTTCTGTATACAGCAATTAAGATTAGTATTAATATTTTTCTCAATATTAAAGAAAAAGTAACTTTTTAACTTAAAAAATTATGACTGTTCTAAAAAAAATTTGAAGAAGGAAATTATGACATAGTAGAATGCATCAGACTCTAATAGGAAACATGAGTCTAAATACTGCTCTGCCAACAAGGAAATAGCTTGGTGCCCTTTCTTTGCCAATCACATCTTCTTAACAGACCTCAAATTTCTTAGTTTTTAATGTGGTTAGTCTATACAATTTATGAGTTTTCTTCCAGATCTAAAAATCTAGGACTCTCTTATAATTTAATTCTGTCCATCTCCAGATTAAGCAATAAAGTGTATAATTATAAAAAGTGCATAATTTATATATACATGTATCAGCAGATGCCTACACATCAAAGGACTCATCAAACTTTTAATTTTATGGGTCTACTTTATGGGGTTTTTTTTCTATTTTAAAAATACACCATCATTTGTATTCAGTAAATTCACCCTTTTAAATGTACAGTTCTGTGAGCTTTGATGAACATTTACAGTTACATAATCATCACCCAAATCAAGACCTATAATAATTCTATCATGCCCCAAAATTCCCACCTCCCTTTGGAGTCAACGCCACACCACGCCCTTTCCCTAGCAACTGCTCTATTTTCTGTCACTGTAGTTTTATCGCTGCTTCCTTACATACTTTTTATTCCTGAGTCTTCTTACTTTCTTACTTTCATTGGTTAGTCCTAAAAGTTAAATAACATACACTGTGCCTCTTCTGAGGGTCGCTTTATATCTCGTTTAATCTTAACAACAGTTTTGACAGCAATTCTATGATGCGTACCTCACCACACTGACTTTATATATGAGAAAACTAAGACTTGTCAGAAGGAGTCATTTTCAAGGGTAATACAGCTAATAAACAAAGAACCCCAGCTCCCTAACGAACACAGTCCCACCACACACACCCTAATTTAGCCTCTCTCCATACTTCCTGTTCATAAGGGCAAAATAAACCTTCATTTGTTTGAGCTTCTATTATTTTGAGTTTTCTGCTATATGAAACCAAATCTAAAAGCATTTGTTTTGGATCCTCCTATTTGGAGCATCGTTTTCTCAGGACGCATAGCTACTTATCTCTTCAGCAAACTTAACAGAGCCAGGGAGACACCATAGTTTATTTACATTTTTAAAGCTTTAAAGCTTTCTGGCCACAGGTCAGAATGCCGTCTCAAATTTTTAGTTCTCCAAAATCTTCATCTACTGGAGTCTAAGTCTACATTTCCACTAGTGGCAAACCCAGAGGAGGACAGGGATGATATTTATTGAAGTTCTTAAACACCAGTGTTTATTTTCAGCTTTACTCTGCCAAATGATTGTCCATTCTCCAATTCAGTTTGTGTTATGCATGATTTTAAAAAACTGCTTAGTCTTGATTTTAAATGCATATTAAGAGTACACTTTGTGTCATACTCACATTCACAGAGGTGAGTTTTCTTTCGCAGAGGCAACCCTGATACTCAAATAGGACAAATCTACTTCATACTCACAGATGCAAGATCCACAGTCCAAGATTCTCTCCCTTTAATCCCCTTGGAATATCATATACCGTGGAACACAGCTCTCTAAACCAGCTTTTTCAATGTTAAGGCTACTGAAAAAAGAAAAATAGTGTTTTCTATATGGAAGAAGGCTAGAGTAGCCTATAAATTACAAAAGATACTTATATGAGAGGAATTGAAGCCTACATTTTAAAACATTATGCCTTCATATGAGCATTTATGTTAAACAATCTGATGGAAGTTCATAAATAGTTACTTCACATTGTAATCTGTGCACATATTTTCATATAGGAAAAGTACAATTAAAACATCAAAACATTACATCACAATGCACAAGTAAGTTGCCTGAGTCAGTGGGTTAAAATGTAATGGATTTTCTTTTTTTAGCTTTGGAATCACCAACTTAAGGAAGAGAAAATAATGTTGTCTGGTATTATTCAGTTCAGTTCAGTTCAGTTGTGTCCAACTCTTTGCGACCCCATGGACTACAGCATGCCAGGCTTCCCTGTCCATCACCAACTCCAGAAACTTGCTCAAACTCATGTCCATCAAGTCAGTGATGCCATACAACCATTTCATACTCTGTCGTCCCCTTCTCCTGCCTTCAATTTTTCCCAGCATCAGAGTCTTTTCTAATGAGTTAGCTCTTCACACCAGATGGCCAAAATTTTGGAGTTTCAGCTTCAGCATCAGTTCTTCCAATGAACAGTCAGGGTTGATTTCCTACAGGATGGACTGGTTTGATCTCCTTGCAGTCCAAGGGACTCTCAATAGTCTTCTCCAACACTACAGTCCAAACACTTCAATTCTTCAGTGCTTAGCTTTCTTTATAGTCCAACTCTCACATCCATACATGACTACTGGAAAAACCATAGCTTTGACTTTGTGGACTTTTGTCAGCAAAGTAATGTTTCTGCTTTTTAATATGCTGTCTAGGTTGGTCATAGCTTTTCTTCCAAGGAGCAACCATCTTTTAATTTCATGGCTGCAGTTACCATCTGCAGTGATTTTGGAGCCCAAGAAAATAAAGTCTGTCACTGTTTTCATTGTTTCCCCATCTATCTGCCATGAAATGATGGGACCAGATACCCTGGTATTATTAGATGATAGTATAACTAATCTTGTGGAAATGGGAAGGAAGTCATAGTATATACATTTCTCATGGGAGAAACAGTTCTCTACGTTCAGTATGAGTACATAGTCTGGGGGACCAGTGGTTTTATTTTTTGCTTATTGTCTTTGTCATTGTTGGACCTCATGATGTTTTGCTCTGTTTTTTTGTTTTTTGTTTTTGACTGCTAAAGCTTAGGGACATATTTATGTACCCCTTCTAGCAAGCAGATATACATTCATGAC